CCCCAAAACCCCAAAACCCCAAAACCCCAAAACCCCGTCAATCAATAATTAAATAGATAACACTTTCGAAATTAAATATGGATTTCTCGTCTTTTTATTCATTCTATTGCTTCTTATGCCACCAAAATTTGGATTTATTCTTTTATTCCTCTTTCTATAAAGTTATTATTGGATCTAACTGGATTGAAGAATTCAGGTCTTTGCTCTCAATTTGTTCAATTTCGCTATTGCATGGCTTTTCATAGTGGTTTCGACTTAGAAATTCTAATATTTTTGCCCTAAACTGACTCTTTTTGGCAGAACTATCTCTCAAATTGTTCAATTTTGGCCTTGTTTCTCAAGAGATTGGCATTCTTATTGAATTTGTCACTAAATTAATTTTCAAGTAAGATTACTAAAGCTGCTCATTTTTCTAGAATCTTTAGATTTTTCCTATAAATTTCGTGTTATTGGCTTTACCTTTAAAATTGATAATTTAGGATTTCCTTTATGATTCTTCGGTAAAAAGGCGATTTTGCATTGTTGTATTCTTTCTTTCCCTCTTCTATGCTATTATTCTTTTGTAGAAATACATGAACCCTTTGACTGGAGTTTCATTGTGAGTTAAATCCATCGAAAATTTCTCTGAAGTTGGTCCTTTGTTCTATATATCATTTATACTCCCCTAATAAACCCGTAATCGTGATTCTTAGTCTCACATAAGATCGATTGACTACCCATCAAAATTAAATTTTTAGATATTCTGAATTTTCGATCAATTATAAACCTTTTATCCGCTGATAGAGGTACATTTTTTGGTAAAATACTTAAGTAATTTTGCTTGATATCAAATTTCTGAACAAAACTTCAGAAAATTCCTCTTTTTAAACTTAAGAACCAACCAGATTAATGCTCTTGTTCTTTAAAAACAACGTTTTGAGTCCAAATCGAACTTATATTACGAACCTTCAAGCGAGAGCCATTTGGAGATAGTGGGTTTCTCTTTCTTGTACTGCTAATTCTAGAATTTAGACTAATTGGAGAAAATCTAAAATTATCAGCCTCATAATTTACGGTGTAAATCTTTGGAGCTGATTCTGAGGAGAGTTCACTGTCTATATGAAAGTTAGTTGATCAATTCAAACTGTAATACAAAATAATAAGAAAGATAATATTACATCAGTTCTTTGCTTCAGTTTAATAGTTTTAAACTTATCTCTTCTTTTTATGCTTCGAATCTTGATATCTTTCCCTCTATTTTCTCAAAGCAGATGTTTTCTTTTCTTGTCTTTTATTTAAGCTTATTCTATAAAATTTTAAAATAAGAATTATTCAATAATCTAAGACAACAAAATTCATGGAATTCTATGACATTAAGTTTAATGTAAATATTTTTATCTGCTTACCCCACATCGAGATCATAGGAATTTTTAGAATCTGACATACAGCTCTTCAGATTATCCTTGTTCCAAAATTTTTTTCTTCTATATATTAAAGATATTTTACCTTTTACAGCAATTGGGAGATTTCACTCTTGATTTTAAAACAGATCGTGACTTGTTCCAGTCCTTTGAACAGTTTTTAGCGTTATTAAGAGGTATAGGATTCGATTTTTCTCTTTTATTATTGAATTTGACAGTCTTGGTGCCATGTCCATCCTATGGATCTTTCAAGACAAGATTACCTCTGTCTTGGTGTTCTCGTTGATTTCTTTTCTAAAATTCTTTCTTAAATTTTCATGATTGATAGTAAGAATGTTTCCCTGTCTTTTTCTTTTGTTTACTTTATTTTTCAATTTATCTGTGCTCAAAATTTGCTCTTTTAAGATTTTTTTTCTCTATAATAAATTAAGAGTGAATTTAATCTCCAGCTATTACATAATTGCTCTAAAAGAGCAACAAAATTAAAAGTAAGACAATAAGCAGAATACGTTGAGAAATTGCCATTTTAGATGCTAAAATTAGAGAAGACTGTAAAAAATTGATTGTGTCACTTATTTAGCCCAAACAAGGTAAAACTTTAAATTTATATTGCAGGTCATTGAGCTGACCTGAAAGGTCTGATTTCTTACCTGGCCTATCTGGAAAATATCATTATTTTGGGATATGACTGTCAATCTGATCAGTTTCCTCTTTTGCTGATAAATCATAGTTCCCAGTTCTTGATACAGTAGATCCTTGCACTCCTTGTATTCTAAAAGCTTGGTAATTAATGGAAATACCTTTCTACGTTATTTACTGAGGAATCTGTTGGTTGATTAGGCACTTCTTTAGACGATTCTTGCTTTATTGGAATGAAATTTAGAATGATAGAGTTGCCTATACCAATGAGTTAAACTTTAATCAATGAGTTATTTTCAAGATATCTTTCTGTTTTCATAAACGCAGGCAAGCAGAAAACTATTTTATTTCATTTTGGAGAATATAATAAATAATTAGGAGGAAATAGATGAAAGATGTTGCCTAATTTGTGTTATTTTAAATCAGAAATCATTAAATCTTTATTCACAGGAATAGAATCTTGCTAGAAAATTCTGTAGAATATAAATTTTAGTCTTGAAATTATTTAATTTTTAAAATTCTATTTGTGAGTTGTAAAATTATTGTGTGAAATTAGATTATTCTTGTAATAAGCTTCATTTATAAATATTTTACCGAAAAGTGTAAGAATACAAAATCTCAGTTATTTTAGCACTAGTCAGTTCACTTACGATGTCTCAGTTTCGCAATTTCCTTATTGCTCTTCTCATACTCCATCTGTAGTTCTTCAACACGACTTGGCCTTCTAGTAGGTGATGCCTTAATTTGTTTCTAAAAAATCAACTTAAAATATACAGTCAGCGATTTGTGTGCAAAACTAGATTTTTGAGCTCTTCCTTTACTATGAGATTGGAAATTTGAGTTAGAGTTAGACCTCACTGTCGAGGTTATTGAAGATCTAAAAATGAAGAGCAAGAGTACCTATCTCTTCCAAATTTAAACGGATTCTTAGCAGCAAATGATCTTCTTGAGTTCTTATTTTGCCTGAAAAGTGGGGACAAAGTACTTTTTATCTTATTTTCCGTCAATGACACTAGGAATCTTGCTTTTTCTGTGTGAGAGATTTATAAGATCAGCCGCATATCCAGTCATAAATTTGCTGTTATTTCCTCATGTATTTAGCCTTAGAGAGAGTCCTTAAATGATCTGTAGCCTTTGCTATCCTGTTAGACTCATGAGTATCTTCTGTGATGGTTTTATTTTCTTCCAAATTAACTAAATTTTAGTCCAGTTCAAAATTTTAATAAGAGAAAATTTAATCTTACTAGCTCTATTTTCTGTATAAACTCTGATAGCTCCACTATTAATCAAGTTCTGTCTGAATTCTTCATTGACCGAGACTTTAAATTTAAATAAAAGTTTACCTTTAGAAGAAGTCTCGGATCCAGATGAACCATCAGAGTTAGAAGAAGTAATGGTCTGTGTCTAATTAATTATGTAAAATTTCATACAATTTCTGATATTGAGCTTTTTGATTCAGTTTCTTCTTGGATTTTAATAATTCACTAAAGGATTAGCTTTAAATTTGCCTCATCATTATCAACAATTTCTTTCTCTAGGTCGTCTCTCCCTTCATTTATTGGCCTGAAATCAAACCTTTTATTTAATCTCTCTTTGTTGTCTTTATCAGCTCTTGAGATATCTAAAAATATATCTTAAACTTTACTTGAGTCTTCTTCTTTACTCATTTGAAAGAACTCACCATCTCCTCTTTTACCACAACTAGCTGCATTAGCTGGGAAGAATTTATTAATCTTATCAACAGTTGAGGAGAAGATTGGATTGTTCTGTATCTTTTTCAAGTTCTTATTTGGAACCAATAAACTTGTAACTTTTAGCCGTCTCTTCATATGACTCCTTTATCATAAATGTCTGAACTTTCCTATGAAATAACACTTCTGAATACCTCTTTTCTTGCTTTCCTATCTTTTTATTTTATTCTGAGAATGGTGCTTTCTAAGGGTGATATCACTCAATCAGGTTCATTTGGAAGTTCTCTTTTTACACTATACAAATTAGTCGTGTTTATAAATTTTCTGAATTATGCAATTTTAGTCAATGCCAACAAATTTACCTTGAAGTATATTTCTTGATTACTTTAGTAAAGGACTCCTTAGAGTCTTTATCCTTGCCAAAAATTCATTCTGCGATCGATTGCCAATGAGGATTTGATTCTTCTATACAATATTGTCTAAATAAACTTACTTTCTTGAGTAATGGTATCTTCAAAATTCATATGTCAGTCTTTCTAAATTCATTAGATTTTCATCTCTCCAAAAATTTGAAAAAAATATTAGAAAAATGAAGACTTACAGATTTTGAAAGAAAGTCTTTTCGATATGGACCGTAAAAATAGTCCATCTTGTCAACAGAGTTACCTTCATCTATTATTTTTACCTATAAGACAAAAGTATTTATTAGATTTCTAATACCCTCATTATTGAGGAAACAGAATAATGGATGACATCTCCATTTTTCTAGCACTTAACCATAATCTTTTAAAGTCTGCTATTGAACTATTTTTATCGGACGATAAGCAGGAAATTTGAGACTAAAACCATCACCATACATTTCTTTTCTTCCTGTTCTTCTTGGAATACTTTATTTTAGAAAAGTTTGAAACTATTCAAATAATAACATTAATTACATTTCTCCTCTGAGGAATACTTATTGAACATCTTCCGGCTTCCATCATTGACGCTTGACATTTTCTCTTTAGACGAGTACAAACAAGAGTCATTAAAATTATTTTGTCAGACCTTTTTGTAATACGAAGTTGCCTGTTTTATCTATATATCATAAAATTTTAGATTTACCTGAGGTTCAATACTAGTGTTCAAGATCTTGCGATTAAAGTTCCAAGTCGGAGAGCTGACATCATTAGAGCCATCCAATGAAGGTTTGTCCTCTAAAGAAATGGATAAGAAAATCAGGTTTATTTTGCAAAATTTTCACCTTAATTTCATAGCAACAAACCTTGAAAATTTGCCAAGAAGGGAATAAAATGTTCAAAATTATTATGGCTAATACCAAAATGTTCAAATTATAAGGATAAATGAATAACAGAGAGTTTTACTTATCTAATATATTCTCTATAAAAGTTTGAGTGAGTATTTCTAACAAATGAGCGCAGAATTTCTTTTGAAATTGAGCCATTTTTCGGAAGTCTCATAGAGATAAGTGTTTATGTATACTTTTTATAAGTAATTTACAATTACTAAACAACTTCACTAACTTACCTGTCACTCTAAAACCGATGAGCTTATCCATATTATTATTTTCAATAATTGATATTTAATTTGGGGTTTTGGGGTTTTGGGGTTTTGGGGTTTTGGGGTTTTGGGG